TTAACTCTTTCAAGTTTTACACTAGTGACACAATGCGGTGCTTGCACATGTATGTTTGATTTAAAAATATATATTTATTGATGGTCAATTCCTTGTTTGAAACTTATTCTATGGTGCTAATACTATGAGCATATTAAAATGTAGATAAGAACATGTCTATTACAGTATTGTTTAATAGGAAAAAATCATCAATGGCCAATAGAGACATAGGTTAATGCCTTATATTCATCTGTACCTCTGAATACTAAAAACAGTTTTAATAATGCATACACCTGCATGTTATCCATGGGCACAAACACATGGAAAGAATCTTCCCCTACATATTTTAATTAAAAGTAACAATGTTTTAGAACAAAGTAAAGAGCTGGGGTCATATTCCCAATTTGGGGAAAGAGTTACCTAAAAACCTGTGTATGTTTCTATGTGTTTGTGTGAGCCGAGGAAAATGGCAATGCGGGACTGTGATTGAGGTAGATATCCCAATTCACAGCAAGGCCGCAGGGTTCTCAAAGGACACACGTAGGTGAGAACTGCAGTGGAAACACAAATGGGTCAAAAATTTTTCCAAATTTGCAAGCCTCTGGTTAACATGAAAGGTAATGCTAGAGTATGTATTTTTTGACTACAAGACTAGTCAGTTGATGGCCATAGCAATAAACGGTTAGACCTTGCAAACTATATGGCTAGTCCTGCACCACGCTTTAACTCTAGGCACAGTTTTGGACAAATCTCCCAATTCTCCTGTGGAACTGTTACAGCAGTAAGATGATTTCGGACAGATGTTAGTGAAATAGGACATACAACCTAATTCAAACACCCTCTAAATGTTCTTATCCCTGCTATCCCAGCAGTAGAAGGAAACTGATTCTGGCATCTGGCCTGCCTGGCACACCACTCTGAGATTGTACCTGTTGGACAGGGCCCACAGTAGAAAGAGCCTGGAGTGTTGAAACATTGCACAAGTGCCGAACAAGAGGATGGAAGGCTGCACTCATCTCGATCTACCGTGCAGGCTGGGTTGTTTGGCGAGGATGTCCACCCGGCTTCGCAGATGCATGTGTAATTGCGCTGGTAGGGCGACAACAACGTAAGGGAAGACAATCAAGTAAAAGAGAGAGCAAAGCCTTTGTAAGTCTCATCAATCCCTGAACTATTTATCATCTAACGTTGATGTCCATCAGGCCAGTTGAGAGGCTCTCTCTTTCTTCCCATCTGATTTAAGCATTTAGACTAGACCATGAAAAAGGGGAAACATCTTTTTTCAGAGTAAGAGAATCCTATAATTTATCACAAAGATGCCGGGGAAAGAGCAACAACAATCAAGAGCTGTAAGTCAATATAATTAAAGTGAATCAGCTCAGCCTGCTATGTTTTTAGAGGGAAAAACACCCATGAAGGCACAGACTTTGGAAAATCAATGGCTGGTTTCTTTCTGAAAGTCTCTTTCCCCTCCGACAGCCCCCTACCCTACCTCCCACTCCACTGTTGGAATGAACCATTTTCCATCTTATGGGTAGAAAAAATTAGCAGGAGAGAACTAAAAATAAAGAACCGAAGTTTTGACAAGGAGCCAAAGTGGCCAGGTCTGGGTGACCTCGAGGGCTGAGAGGCCAGGTCCTGAGGATGCAGAGCACAGAGGGGCACCAGAGAGTCTGCAGTCCCCATGGAGTCTGCAGCCGTTGCAGGGCCTCAGGGCCAGGAGACTCCAGACTCAAAATTGCAGGTTGCCAACAAGACTGAGCCTTCTGTGTTTTCATGACTTGTCACTGTTGAAACTCACAAGGCCAAGAGAAGGTCATGTCTCAAAGAGAGATTCATGCAGGAAGAATAAAAGTGTTACTCTTTAATATAATGCACACCTAACGTCAGGGTTCGCTCTTCTGTATACCTCCTCCTCCCTCCTTGCCTGGTCCCAGCTAAGGGTAGGAAGTGACGTCACCTGCAGCTCCAGAGGGCAGTACACAGGTTGCAGGAGGAGCAACCAACCACTGAGGTTCGCTGAAGGAGTCACTTTGGGGAAGGGACTCACCGTTCCAACTTGCTGTCGTTCTAAATCCTCACAGACACCGTGGACACAGAGCTCTTTAGAGCCCCTCTCGCAGTCATTGTATCTGAATGCACACTGGGGTCCGTATGTATCAGGTTTGCAGGTACAGCTGGTGGATACAGAAGAGCACAATGTCGGAGCTCACGCTTAAAGATCAGTCCCTGTCTCTTAGTATTAATAAAAAACTCCAAATTGATGATATTAACATAGAATCATAAGCTAGCAATGCAAATTGACTGCTGGCGCCTTGGAGAAAATCACTGGCTTCTGCTCCCAGCAGAGGATGGAATGAATGTGCTGTCTTTGTAAAGAAAGTGTTAGAGAACCACGACTTAATATTTCATAAGACACTACACTATAAATTCTTCTGGTATCAAGTCATCAAACAGCACATTCAAAGGTCAGCAGTCTACACACCATGGGTATTGGAGTTCGTTCAAGAAGAGAAAGGGAGAAACCAGCAAGTTAATTCATCATCCCTCTCACTGGATCTGCCAGCAAGCACAGGTGATCTTGACTAAGCTAATCACTTCCAGACTCCCTCTAAAATGGTATAACCCCAGATGCCCTGCACTGGCCACATCTCCGAGTATGTGATAACTGTTATTGCATTACAAAGGGCGAAACATCCTCTATCCACATGAGATGTAGTTAACATAGTGGCATTTCCTTTATAGTCACATTTTAACTCACAAAAATATAATTGTTATTTGAGAACTAAGACACCAGTGGGTGTTTTGCTACTAGAAGATCTTAGACCAACAATAATCAAATAAGAAAAGCTGCTTCGAGCCATTGTAATTCTTAAAGTGACTAGTTTAGCTTTATATCTGCACGCAGCCTAATAGGGAACTTGTAAGGTAGGAATATCGGATTTTGGCGAAAGAGGAAGGGATAAGGGTCTCAAAAGCCTATTCACACAAGTCTCAGCACATCTGAATGAGAAGAGCCTAGCGCAGGGCTCTCCATTTGTCAGACAGGAGCAGCACCACCAAAGAAAGCGCTCATGGAGGGAACTGACCATCAGTACCAGAGGTGTTAAACAAGGAAGAGGGAGGCACCGGCATAACCCTGCGTGGAATCACAAACTGGCTTCTGAGTGTTCTAGAAAAGGAGCCATTCGACAAGGCGGAGTAGCTCTTAACAGTACACATAGAGGTACAAGGAGCTCAGCTAACGTCCACGATGGCAGCATGGGAATGACAGTGCAGGGAGGTGAGTTTGGCCATTTGGGAAGATCAAGAGCCACACACCGAGCATACCGTGTGCTGTGTCATGACACCAGATGTCATGTCAGACGCAATCGCTGGGGTGACATCTTTAAGTAGTTTCTAGGAACAAAGAGATCAAGAAATACGGCCAGAGATGGAGAGGAAGACCATGGTGGACAGCATCCAGGAACTCATACCGAGGGCTGACAGACTTAGGGAACATATGTGCCGCCGAAGCGAGCATGAGACTTAGCGAATAAAAATATAGGATGCCCGGGCTGGGGATTTAGCTCAGCGGCAAAAGCACCTGCCTGGCAAGCTCAAGGTCGTGAGTTCGGTTCCCGGTACCGGAGAAAAACCAAAATAAATAAATAAATAAATAAATAAAAATATAGGATGCCCAGTTAAACTGCGATTTCAGATAAATGAATATTTGGTACAAGTATGATTTACAATCACTATATAGTTACATAAAAGCTGCTTTGCTGATAAATTACATTTCTGAGCATTGAAAGATTGCTTTTCTCATTAACACAAGGTCATAAGTAAATAATGGTAGTGATGACATTTAAGGAGAAATTCAGTTGCTCATAGCTATTTATCTTCCCCTCATCTCTTCTTTCCTAAACATTCCCTCTCACAATCTACTCCCTTTCCTCTTCTGTCTCTCATCCTCACTTAAAATAGTCTTACAGAAAATTTAATTAGACTCTTTGGGATTACAGAACTTCAGAGTATTTCATACATATCTTTCAACATTTGATCCCGTTGGTTTAATTGCCAAAACTTATTTCCACACCACCCCACACACTTTCCAAAAACATTTTTTTAAATCTTAAAACCAATTATTCTGTGAAGTTAACTATTTTCCCTTTATAATTAATAAATATTTTGGGGGGAAAAATTATTAGTAGCTTTCAAGTCTATTTTCTAGTATGAGATCTAAGTTTTGGGTACCCCTGGGACTAGAAGACCCAGATTTAACTCCTCATCAAATGTATTATCTGTTTATCTCAGGCAGTGTACTAACTCATGAATACTATTTTTATTTTTTGTTCTAAAGGCCTTACCCTGTGGGAAGTGCTCAGAAAATTGTTCATCTTATCACTAACCACTTAACTATTAGAAAATGACTTAAGATTTTAGAGGAGATTCTGGCCTATGGGGCTATATTTAAATCCTCTCTCTTTATCTCTGCCTTCCTTCTCTCTTGCTATTATAACTTGGAGATGAGTAGATATCAATCCTATAAACTTCTTTAACCAGCTACAAGGTAGACTTCATTTACTTAAATTTAGATAATGTGCAAAGAAAAGAAGGAGAAAGGAAGCCAAATAAACTTTAGTTTCCTTGCTATGACCTTCAAAGAGAAGTTTTTAAAATCCCATTTCACACACACACACACACACACACAGCCCACAGCCATAGAATTTTAATGATTGGTAGATGATAAAGGAAATCTAAGTCTGTTATGCAGTGCCATTATTTTTCCATGTTACAGTTTTATGTTCTGAAAGAGAGTATTAAAACTTTGCATTTCAGTGTTTCTCTTTAACATAACAGTGTTTGCACACAAATATATTCTTAAGGTAAACTGGTTGCCATTGAAAAAATGAGTGAAAGATTATATACCTCCTCAGTGAATATAAAAGTCATATATGTGTTTTAAAACTACCTTACTACTGTTTGTGTCTTCGCTATTAGCTACTGAACTCATTCCTGTAATGACATTTTATTACTGATTTGGTGCCAGCAGAATCCATCTAGGCTTTTCAGACTTTAAAAGCACTACAAATGCATTTGGCAATTGAGAAGAAGTCAGACATACTTCCATAGTCATAGTTTAACTTGCACTGGAGTCCATGGTTCATTATCACTCTGCTGACTAACTAACTGAAGGAGATAATAAGTTTAATGCCTAAAGTTTAATACCTAACTACCACCTGATCTAATATCAGATTATTCTCCTTTAAGCTCTGAATGTTTTAAAAATCTACCAGTGTATGAATACAGACAAATAAAATGAAATATACTAATTATCATCATATTCATGGGGAACAAACATCAAATGCAACTATTTTTCCACTGGAAACCCTTTTAGATCTAAATAAACAAGTATGTAACTATGCTATCTGTGCATAGCAAGTCCAGACCCCAAGAGCTGTCTTAGATGCAAAGGAATCAGGAACACAATAAGAATCAATTCTTTAGAATAAAGAGGCAATAGCAATATTAAAAATGGAAAAATATCATTCCATTAACTGTCTGAAGAAGGTGGGGCAAGACTTCAAGCCAAAAGAAAAGAAATTGGTAGAAACATGTTTTCTCCTGCTCTGCTGTCCTTACTCCAAAAAAAGATTTTTTACCAAAAATTTGTCCATGAAACGGGATTTCTAATTAATATTTGCATAATGCTTTAGCTTTACAAAGATTTTTACAGTTACAAATTATTAATATTGTTAAATAAAGACTTCATTTTTTTCTCCAGGTAAGTGGGCTCAAAGTGGAAAGAAAGAGAGAAAGAGAGAAAGAAACAAAGAAAGAGAAAGAAAGACACAAAGAAAGAAAGACAAAAGAAACCAAAGGCTGAATGTAGCACAGCCACACAGCTCCTGCCTGGAAGGCGTGAGGTCTTGAGTTTGATTCCCGGTTTCAACAGAAAAAAAACTGAAGGAAGCCTCAAATCCAAAGCAAACTTTGCCCACCGTGACTATTGTTTTGCAAGTCTCGATTGTTTGATAGCTGCTCAAGTTTTCCTTTACCAAACGTGTGCTAGGTTTCCCAGAGGGTGCCTAGCTTCAGTGAAACTGCTGATTAACATGGATTTAACCTCACATAATTAATAGCACTCAGGAAACTGTCTAAATGTTCAGTATTTTATTACAAACCAACTCCACAATGCCAGAATTAAATTTTATGCTGAGGACATTTTCCTGTTTTATTTTATTCCTTTAAAGAGTCACCTTCATATGCCTGATTAGAGTATTTAAGACACAGGTAATTAACAGGGATTCATGAGGCTTTAGCAACTGTTCCCACAACCTTTCTTCAGAGGAAGAAATGAGATTCAAATGTTCTTCTCTCTAGCGTCCTCCAGCAAATCTAGGAAAGGCTGACACTAGAAACTAAAAAGATTTCCAGAGTCAGCACAAGAAATCCTCGTACTTTTCTTGTTGTTGACTACAAGACGATACAAGAGAGATTCGGTTCTGTTCTTGCAAAGTTGAAGTTGCCATTTAGAAATGCAACTCTGAACAAGTGTCACGCTCTGTCTGTCTCTCTCTCCCTCTCATGTGTGCATCTGGGCAATCAGCTCTAACCCCTGGCCTGCAGGAAATAGGTGTGAGGTTAAAGTTTTTAAACTTTGGATTGTTTGTTTTTCTTTTCCAGTTTGAGGAGAGCAAACACAAACTGCTGAAACAACAATAACAACCCGCGTGGCCAACGGCTCTCACCTCACATGCGTATCTTTATCATGCAAGACACCCAAAATAAAGTGATGATAAAGGAAGATCAGGAATGACTAACCCCCAGGACATTCCCAGATACTGGGAAGGCCAGAAGTACAAGTGCTAGGAGTCCAGACATTTGCTACTGATGTCTCCAAGGAAAAATTCTCCTGGATAAATGCTCATGAACAGAAATCAAGAGAAAATGCTTTCAAGAGAATGAAAGATTAGCCCAAACCTGAGGATTTAAAAAGCAAGGAGCAGAGGGGTAATTTAAATGAGAAATTCCTCAAAGAAAAATCCTTAAAACAGTTCACCGGCTGCCCCTTCCAAGCTCTGATTCTTCCTGTTGCTCAGCTCATCCTGAACCAGCTAAAGCTCTTTGGTAACATGGTATTAAACTAAAGCTAGAGGGAGTTAACTTTGGTTCTGCATAATGATTGAACTCATAAGCATTTCTAGGAGAAGTTTCAATGAGTTAAGCTTATAACCTGGAATGAATGAAAAATTTAAAGAGCAGATCAAAAGAACAAGAGGGTCACTGACATGGAACAGGAAGAACTGTGACTACTTTTCTAAAAAAACAATGTGTTGACAGATGACAAGGGTAGAAACAAAATTACTGCGCTCATTTGCTGGAAAGAGCAGCATGGATATTGTTATGAAGAAATGAAGAACAGGATAGTAAAGATCCAAGGAAGAAAGCATATAATCGCTCTTTCTTCATCCTTAAATAATCTCAGACTTACAGAAAGCCGGTGAAAATATGGGGAAGATAATGTCAACACTGTTTTAAAATTTAAGGGACTATACACAAGTAAATTTGATGATGATCTCCCATAAATTTCTAGAATTGAGTATTTAAAAGGTAATTGTGAGCCTGGTGTGGTCATGTGATCCTGGCATGGTGGGGCATCCCTGTAATCTCAGCACTCCAAAAGGCTGAGGCAGGAGAATCACAAGTTGAATCCCTGCTTGGACTGTAGCGACTTTGCAAGAGCTTTTCTCAAAATAAAATATAATAAAGGGCTGGGATGTAGCTTATTGTGAAGGCCCTGGGTTCAACGTTTAGTACAAAAAAAAAAAAAATGTGTGACCCACTATGGCCTGATGACCAGTATTCCTAGGATACAGTGGAAACGTAGAGGCATTGTGATGTCCAACTCAGTTACAGGGAAAGGAAGGGTTTCGTGGTGGAAGGTGATGCCTCAGCTAGCAGGAGAATGCTACAGACATTTGACAAAATAAATCAGAAGAAAGGATAAAGCAGTGTGAGGACTGTGTTCAGGGACCTCGTGACTAACTGAAGAAACACAGGGAGGGTTAATTCGTTCATCGAGCCTTCAATCTTAGGACTGTTTGGCCCACATTCTTACACAGCGTTAAATGAAGCTACGCACGCTGAAACCGTGAGCTCGCTGGTGAATGGAGTGAGTGCGGCGGTGGGGGCTGGGCGGTGGGGCGGGCCCTCTCCACTTCAGTGCATCCCACAGCTGCCCCTTCCTGAGCCTTACTAATGCTTCAGCTGCCTGCGCCCCACGCTAGCCTTACTCTGCCGGTCACAGCAGGCTTCTTCCAATCCTCAGGGAGGCTGGAGAACGGATTTCTTCATGCGATCACGGACAGATGGGGGAGAGCTCATGGGCTATGCTTCACCAAAATAAAAATAGCTATGTATGTGCTCAATAAGAGGGATGTATTTCCCTACTGAGTACCTAGTTTTCCTCATAATATGGAATGTTAATTTTGGTTGCTTTTAGTCCTTCAGAAATGCACCCGATTTTTTTTTTTTAAGTTACCTGTAGCTCCCCACTGTATTCATACAGGTAGCTCCATTCTGGCAGCCCCAGGGTGTTCCTGAGTAAATCGCACACTCATTAACATCAGCTGTGCACAGAGGACCCTGGAGTCACATAAAGAACAGTCAAGTGTCACGAGTCATGAGGACTGTGGGGCTGTCTGTTAGTAGGATAGGCGTGAGGACTCCTACACAATAAATAAACCCTTGGCTAAGCCAAACACAAGCATACTGATTAATCTTTGGCTCTCCTTCCTCTGGAACTCGGGTTCAACCTAACAGACCTGGAGAGCTTTTCATAAGCTCACAGCAGTCCCAGGAGGAGACTCACAACGCGGATGAACCCTCTTCACAGTGGTACACTACCTTGGAATTTTTAATTAACACTTTTTTTGTTAATGTACATGCTGGGGACATTTTAAATTAATGCTAACAGATCATGCCCTTTCACGCAATTACCCAATCAAACAAACTGCTTACGATGGCTTAGTATTCAGTGGGTTATATAATCAAACCTGCCACATTTAGATTTGGGCACTCGGGGTATAATTTGTTCTGCTTTCCAGAGGCCACATTATCTGAGTAACTTTGGATGGAGGGCTGAATAAGTCTGGGATGATTCCAGGGAAACCACAGATTCTGACTCACCATTATTTTTAATCAAAGACCGAGAGACTCACCTCCCACTGTGAAGGACAGATGCAAAAAAAGGAATCAATCAGATTGAGGCAGGTTCCACCATTGTGGCAGGGATTGCTGCTGCAAACGTCTTTGTCCACTTTCTGAAACAAAGACAGATGAGGCAGTGAGACAGCAGTACTTGCCACCAGCAGCGAAGCGGGGCAGGTGTCGGTACAGCTGTGTGTACTGGTGAGAGCTGCTGTACTTCCCGTCAATGCGGGTCTTCCTTCAGGCTTGTTACCAGTTATGGGTCCTTTCTCAAATCGATTCTCTTGTGAAAGAACAAAAAGTGTTTCTTATCAGTCAGTCAAATTCTTTAACATTTTGTATGCTTTTTTACCATGAATAGGGTGGGAAAAAGGGGAGCAATTCTGTCTCTTTGGAAAAGTATTGTTTATCTGCAAAATATACATCAGTGGACAAGAGTGGAGGATGGACTAATAATGGACATTCTTAGGTACTAATAAAATTAAATGGAAATTTCCTGTTTCTTTGCCTTTTATTCTTATCTTTGGTACCTCCAGATAAGCCTTTGAAATCTGATCATCTTTTGCTGCCTCATCTCGTGGGTTAAATGACTGAGCACATTTCACTCCAAGACCTATTGTTTGAAATGTGGCCGGTTAAGATACACCCTCCAGCCCTGCACTCACCTGACCACTTTCTCACTCACAGAGCAGCAAACAGACCTACCTTTGTCTAACCAACCTGAGCAATCTTACCTATGTCAGCTACCAGTTCTGATCTCAGAAGATTTTTAAGTCTTGGGAAGCAGAGGCAACTTCTTTAGAGCGGACTAGTAATCAGGCAATTAAGTTAGTGCGTTCATTTTATCGATAGAAGAATTCTCTGTTTAGCTAGAAGCAAAGTACTCATTATGGAGAAAAATCAAGTCCATTTTCTTCATTTTGCAGATGACATTGAGAGCCAGAGAATAATAATGGGCGCCCCTTATTATTTATTGCAAAGCTCATTCTTTCTCTACACTTAAATCAGAAGACCACACATACAGGGGTCTTTTCACAGACTGTTTTCTTCCAGTGTTCAGTTTGTCTAACTTTGTTCCAGTTCCACAGTGAGCTCGGTTTACCAAAGGACACTATTAAGAAGGTGCACCACAAATGTGCTGGAGGTTTTTCTGTATGTAAGAGCAACACTACCTGGAGGTTAAAAACTCCACAGCCTCTGGGGCCCAGCAGGCAATGAAACCAGCAGAGGAATATAATAGGGAGTAGCAAAGACTGGTGGCCAGAGAGTCCTTGCCCTACCCAAAGCTGAAAGGCGTTCACATTGGAAAATCATTAAAAACTCTTCCTGAGGAATGGAGGAGGAGGTCATTTTTATATGTCCTCTAGCTCTTTGCTAAAAACAGTGAAGCCCTGCAGGAAACAGAAAACTGTAACCTATGTCCTGTTCCAAGCGCTGCTCCTTGTTTGCTTTACTCACTCCAGCAGTACCCGAAAAGACGAAGACTGAGAGGGGGACAGTTAGCAAAATGGTGAAAAGGATTATGGAGTTAATCTTGGCTGTCAACTTGACTGGAAGAGTGGGATAGACTCCCGACAGCTGAACTTAAATGTTACAGAGGATACATGGGAATAAACTACAGAAAAAGCAAGTCTGTCTATCTGTCCATGTTGACTCTATGGACTCTTCTTGTATATTTTTAGTGAACATCTGGTCATCAGAAGACTTACCTGCTGTAGGCTTTGAAATCTTCTCTCAAGATCCAGAAGCTAACAGTGAGGAAGAGAAAGCATCAGTCAGCTGGTTCGAAGGCATTTTATATGTGATGTTACACCCGGGACATATTGTCCTAATGCTTCCTCCTAGGGGCTCGCTTTCCGCTCCTGTTTTCATTGCCTGTCCCTACTTATTCCTCTCCTGCCACATTTTCTTTCCTTTCTATTTCCTTCTACTGCGTGTATTTCTTTTTAAAGTCTTTTTAAAAGGAGTACAACCCACCATGAAGCTAGTTCATTTTTCTCTTTGCACACAGAACTATGGGAATCTTCCTAAATGATAACGAGGAATCTCACTCATCAGTAAGCTTTCTATAAAAACCTGAGTAAAGTCTAATTAGACAACAAATCTGATAGCTTTTCCTACATTTTATATCCTCCATTAGAGCTACGCCTTTTAACTAGATGTCCATAATTAGATCGATAAATATCTAAAAAATATACAAATTTGGTATCCCCTGGAAAATACATTATGTACAATGTTGAATTAAAGAGAACTCAATTGCTCTTACGATGTGAATTTCAGACTTACCTTGGAATTGAGCTGAGAGATTTGACTAGATACATTGTGATGCAGATCAACCGAATTTCTTTTTAAATCTACAATCTCATCTTTGTTTTTCTGGATCTAATTTTTAAAAGAAAAACAGAAGGAAAAGGAAGAGAAGAATTCTAGTGAAAAAGAATCATACTCATTTTGCAGGAATATAATATAAAACCTGAGTAGGATTCTATTTTAAGAACTAAGATTTGGCTATTAAAAAATTCAAAGCAAGTGCCATGTACAGTAGACATTGGGCTAAGATACCCATGACATAATTTCAGTCAGCCTTTCCTATAATAATACAAGTTGTGATTAAAAAAATAAAGTGATCATTTAAAAATATTTTTAAAAACTTATTACAGAGAAAGACACATTGCCATCAAGCCCCCTCACTTGAAAAACATCCATCTCAATGTTCTTGCCAGTTTCAGAAGCAGTTCTGGAAACCCTCTCCTGTGAGCCTCTTGACTGTTAGAGCCAGCGCCATGCAGCAGAAAGGCGTGGCCATAAAAACATGGCAGTGTGTGTGCTCATCCAACTTATTCCCTGGATCTAGCGCCGTGCAACATCTGGCTCTTCCCAAAAACCAAAATGACCGTGAAAGGGAAATGATTTGAATCAGCCCGGGAATTTGAAGCAGCCATGACAGTGCAACTAAAGACACTCACAAAAGAGGACTTTCATGGCCGCTTCAGAAAATGGTAAGAAGGGTGGTAACTGGGGTCACAGTGAGGGGGAGTGCTTCGAGGAGGTATTAATGTCAGTGTCTTTCACTATAGTAAATTTTTGAAACTTTAAACATTAAACATATTTTTCAATCACACCTCAGATGTCAATATATTTTCTATTTGCATTTTTTCTCATAACAAATGTTTAGAGCATTTATTAAGAAGCTTGCTGGACCAAGGATATCACTCGGTGATGAACACTTGCCTATATACCCAAGGCCCTGGGTTCAATCCACAGTACACATTCCCTCCTCTAAGAAACTTTGGGTTTGAATCTGACTACTAAATTTTAAATTTTGGGCAAAGCATTTATAGTGTGCCTTTGGCCAAGCTATTTAACTGTGTTAAAGTAGCTTTAACAAGTGGTATGCGTGGTGCGTGACCCATAGTATAGCAGGTACTCTAACTATAGCAGGTACTCTAACTATAGCAGGTACTCTAACAAGGCTGATACACAAGCATGCTGTAGTATACGCTGAACATTGACTGCATTTAATAAGGCCAGAGGATAATTGGCCAATTGTGTTCTATAGAAAAAATAAGCTTGCCACACCTCTCTCTGGGCCCCTCATTTTCACCACCCTCGTGACAAGTTCGTTAGTATCCTCTATATCTTTTCTGTGCTCTAGTACAGTATGAGCACTATGAGCTACCCTGTCAGCATTATCCTTTCCACCCAGTTGCCCCTCCTAAGTGATTTTTCTTTCTAAAAACTATCTTACTTCCAAATTATGCATTTTGTGCTAAACATTCAAGTACAGGGTGACACTGAGGTCTTCAATTAAGTCACAAGTGTAGACGTACAAAATGATTCCAAGATATTTCCCACACGATACCTGATGCAAGCATTCACTGAGGTCTTCATCATTTAATCTTATTTTTCCTTGGGATCCAGTTCTAAATTCAATGTTTTGGGCAGGCCCAGTAAGAAATACTAAATTTCCCCTTTCCGAAGTCAAGCGAGGCCTGTATAATCCAACCAGAGAAAATGCAGCAGTAATTAGTACATAAACACTTTTAAATCTAAACAAACTTTCTCACTAAATTAACTATAGACTGTATATATCTTCTTTTTGCAATCGACCAAAATCTCTCTACTCTTCTACCGCTCCTTTGTAATTTTCCAGAGTTATCTCCTAGTGATTGCATACTTGGTTACTTTGCCAATGGATAAAAGAATAACTTCAGTGTAAGAAAGTAACTCCAAAAAAAAAAAAAAAAGAAGAAGAAGAAAGTAATTCCATGCATCAGTCCAAATATTTCTCACTGTTGGCTTTTTGATATGACCACCTTTCTCAAGAAAAAATTACACTTGAGTTTCTGACTATTGGGAAAACTCACAAAGAGTTATCTTACAGCATGAGGAAGAAAAGTAATAATTTGTGTATCTACTTACTGTTGGAGATCAGTATTTCTTTTACTTCGCTGCAGCTCAAGTTCTCCAGCTTCACCATCAAATTCTGCAAATATCAATAAAATAACCAAACACCAAAGAAAAGGTGAGGACATATTCCTCACCGGTCTCCTACCTGGTCAGGTCAGAGAGAGACTATGGCAATTAACTGACTGACTTTGGGAGTTTGTAGAAAAGTAGAGCAAGAATGTGTACTTTGACCAGTGGACTCTTTCAGTCTTTTCTTCTTTGCCTGAGAAGGCTGTGTTATTCTCTCTTCCTGAGGAATGTAAATGATCCTAGATCTTCAGTACTCTTCAACTTGTGAGAGGTCAAAATCTACCTCAAGAGATGCACAACTTAATCATTATTTGTTTGACCTTTGAGACAGTAGCAAGCAGCTTTGGAAACATCCTCTAAAACAATCCTTGCTTAGGAAGCACTCACCTTTCAACAAACGCTGCTGCAAAAACTGAATATTCACCTGCGACAGAAACTGGACCCTCATCTTGTACTATGTGTAACCATTGTGGCTAAATGATTCAAAGACCTCAGTCTAAGAGTTAAACCTATAAAACTCTTTGGAGAAAAAAAAATAAGAAGAAAGCATTATAATTTTGGATTTGTCAGTCACTTCCTGGGTCTGATATCAAAAGCACATACATTAAAAGAAAAAAGTACAAGCAACCAAAAGGTGAATGGTCTACATCAAAATTAAAAACTGTGTATCAAAGAACTCCACAACTCAAAAAACAACAACAACAACAACAACAACAACAAAGAATCAGATCTTTTTAAATAAGCAAAAGCCCTGGATAACTTCCCCAAAGAAGATATATAAATAACATGAAATTACCGGTATCATTAGTCTTTAGGAAATTGAAAACCACAATGAGATACTACCTCATATACATTAAGATGGCTGCTAGAGAAAATAGTATATGTTGACAAGAATGTAGAGAAATTGAAACCTGTGTGCCTTGCTGGTTGAAATGTAAAATGATACAGATGGGCTATGGAAAACAATATGAAAGTTCTTCACAAAATTAAACATAGAATTAACTTATGATCCAGTAATTTCACCATGGGATTTATACCTAAAAGAACTGAAAGCAGAGACTCAAAGAGATAGCTGTACAACAATATTCATAGCAGCATTATTTATAATAGTCAAAAGTTAGAAATAATCCACATATCTATAACAGATTAATGGATTTCAAAAATATGGTATATACATACAGTGGAATATTTTCAGCACTATAAAGGGAGGGAAATTTTAACATGGACCATCATATGATGAAAACCCTGAAGATATTAAACTAAAGTGAAATGAATCATTTGCAAAAGAAAAACACTGCATAACATGCCAACTGGATGAGGTGCTGGAATAGTCCAATTCATAGAAACAGAAAGTAGAATTGTGGCTGCCAAGTTACCAAGGGCAGGAGTAAGGGAGAAGGGAGACCCACTGTGTAATGAACACAGAATTTTACTTTGGAAAGATGAGAAGCATTCTGGTGATGGGTGGTAGTGATGGTTGCACAATATGATGTATTTACCCCTGATAAATTTCAACCTTAAACAATAACTAAAAGGGTTAAGTTTATGCTTCACCTCATTTTTTTAAAAAAACTGAAACCATATTTTGGAAAAGTGGACTGGAAATGGCTTGCCATAAAAATCATCTTAAGGGAAGAAAGACACATCAGCATCTAGATTGATTGGCTTCAAACATTCAGAAAGACAACCTGTAAAAACAACATTTGAAATGTCATCGAAATTTTTACATAGGAGATATGTAAAATTATCCTCATACATACAACTGTACAGTTTAATATTACAGGGAAATGCAACACTGTTTCTCAATTGATCTATTTGACCATTATAGTACAACACAAATAAACCAAAGAAAATAACTTTCAAGTCACTATTTGGTATGATACTGAGGTCAGGTGATGAAAGGTTTTATTGTATTTGTTTAATAAATAGAAATAATGCAAGAAATATTTTAGTTTGAATACATTGTTTTAGTTATGTCAGTCGAAGTCTCCACTTTTCCATTAAGTTATGCAGTCATACCACATCATTCAACTTAGGAAATGAAGGAGGTTTGAAACTTTTCTAAAATTTCCAGAACATAAAAATTTTTTAAAAAAATAAAGAAGGAAGGTCAGAGTTAGAGTTCTGGTTCAAGTTCACTACATTCCTGAGCAATGACTAGAAACATATAGGAGGGGAGTTGCAAGAAACTTGAGTGGAAGAAAATAATATTTTTAGACAAGAAAAGAGAAAGTTTGGGGAGTGATGCCACCGAGGGAAAGCCAGATCTGTTTTACGGTGTTTCCGCAACGTGGTGATTTATCCCCATCTCCCCTAACTGTAGCAGTTTCAAGATCTTAGTACCTGCTGGGCCTTGTGTGGTAATTTGCATGGATTATAAATTCATTTCACCCTCATCACTGATGAGGGATTTACTTTTAGAGATTAATTTATAGTCATTTATTTATGTTGACTATCAATTCCTGTCTAATTTACTCAAATGTAGTTGTATTTGGTTCCACTGAGTTTATATTTTTAGAACACCTGATTGGCACCAGGCTGTGCTACACAATGAGATGCATCAATTACTAAAAATAACATATCTCCTTGTCTTCCAGGAGCTTGTATTCTGGGGGAAAATTTTTAAGAAATAAATGAACAGAGTAGGCTCAAGTGGGGGATGCAAGACAGTGCTACGCCATGAAACGACCAAGGAGAAAGAACACACCTATAGTGAATGGTCACATCAGTTTCACTGAGACAGCAACACTAAGGGTATGAGAAGAAAAATATTGGCAACACCAAGCCAGCACCTGCGAAATCTCCTTATTTGGGCTCCAGGCATGTTTACTTTTCCCATCCCTGCAGGCCCACACTGAGCACTCTTCCAGCCAGATGATCTGGAAGGCATAGGCCACTGTTGTCCCCCACTGATTCTGCCTGGGGTGGTAGAGAACACTTAGGAATGATGGAAATGTTCTACATCTTGATTGTGAAATCAGTTGTTGATGCACTCCAACTGTCCGTGAGCACACAGACCAGGATAAGGAAAACAGACCTGAATTTGAAAAACACCTCTATACGAGCTCTACGCTAAGAAAAAAACCTCTTGGTCAATGTTAGTGAATTAATTAATATCTGTATAGTTATCTTTGAAGATAAGGATGTCAGGTAACATAGCACATAACATCTTGTCTGTGATACTCAAATATTCACTGGTTTGATATTTTAAGCCTTCCAATTTTTTCCTACATAGTCTTTTCTATCTTGTTCTTCCACTCAACATAATGCTTTTGTGATCCCCCATCCTGTAGTATTTATCATTGACTCCTTTCCATTACTGTGTAGTATTTTGCTACATTTCAACCCATTCCACCCTTTGCTTATATACTCTTTAGCTGACAAACACTTGAGTTGTTTTCAGTTTGGAACTATTATAAATAAAGGTACTACAAACATTTTGAACACATCTTTGTGTGAATATATGTTTCCACTTGGATAAATACTAAAATGAGATTGCTGTGATATATTGCAAATATGTCTTAACTTTAGAAGAAAATGCTAAACTATATTTCAAAGAATGTATGAAAGTTCAAGTTCCTCCTCATCTTCTCCATCACTTGGTGTGATGAGTGTTTTTATTTTACCTATCTAGTGAGTGTACAGGGGTATCTCACTGTAATTTTAAATTTACATTTCTAAAATGGTTAAAAATGTTGACCTGACATTTGTTGGGAGCTTGAGGCAGGAAGATCACAAATTTCAGTCCAGCCTGGGTAACTTAGCACAACCCTGTCTTGAAATGTAAAAAAAGGACTGGGGATGTGGCTCAGTGTGAAGACCCTAGATTGAATTCACACGCGCGCACACACACACACACACACACACACACACACACGAGATCTTTTGTATGTATTTGAAATTTGTGTATTTTCCTTGATAAATTGTTCAACCTTTTGCACACATTTAAAAACTGAGTTGGTGTCATTTTTATTTAATATAAGAGTTCATATAGGGGCTGGGGATTTAGCTCAGTGGCACAGTGCCTGCCTGACAAGCATGAGGTCGTGAGTTCAAGTCCTGGTACCAGAAAAAAAAAAACAAAACAAAAATAAATAAAGGAGTTTGTATAGTCTACAACTGAAGTACATTCATATAT